AGCCACAGCTGGGGTGCTAGCCCCAGTCCCTGCCCCATAGTGTGCACAGTCCACACAGCCAAAGGGTGGGGGTGGGGGTAGCAGAGGCACCAGGAGGGACTTGGCTAAGGTCAGGGCAGAGAAACCAGGTCTTCTATGTGCTGGGCTGCGCTGTTTCCCCAAAGACTCAACTAACAATGGGTGCTCCAGGAACAGATCAGAGCCAGCTTGACTTTCTGGGATTAAGTCCCTCCCCCCACAAACAGGCCCAGTCAGGCCCTACTCAGAAAGAAGCATGGAAGGTCACAAGCCCAATTTTTACGGATTCCTTTTACCAAAGGAGAGTCAGGATGCACCTGTGGTTTACATACAGCTCATGGGGGCTGGATGCCTGGGTTCTCTTCCTGCTCTGCAATAGACTCTGGGTGGGACCTTGTCATTTTACCTCGCTCCCTGCCTCAGTTTCCTCTAGTGGAAAAAGCAGGCTAATACCTACCCTACCACACTGTAAGGGCCCTGTGCATCTTTGTTCTCTGGCCCCAATCCTGTTTGCACTAGTCACATGAAGCTTGTGGCATCAGAGAGCCCACAGCTTTGAGGACCCAAAAGGTTAAGAGAAACAGACGAGCTTCTCTCGGGTGCGTCTCTGGAATGTTGTTCCAAGGTACTGAGCTGGATGAAAGCTTGTTAGGGATCGAGTTAAAACCTTGCTGAGATCGATGGGTAAGAACTCACCCTTCAATTAACATCATTGTAAGGCTCAAAATCACAAGCTCTTTGGCTAAGAGAAAGGGGAGGGATAGCTCAGTGGTTTGAGCATTGCCTTGCCATACCCAGGGTTGTGAGTTCAATCATTGAGGGGGCCATTTAGGGATCGGGGGCAAAAATTGGGGATTGGTCCTGCTTTGAGCAGGGGGTTGGACTAGATGACCTCCTGAGGTCCCTTCCAACCCTGATATTCTATGATTCTATGAAAAGGGTTATGTGAACCTGGCCAGGAGTTTTGGGTTGCGTGTGCAGAGGGCTTTTGCTGTGTATTGCTTGGGTAGATGTGTGTGGGGAGGGGTGCAGAACAAACAGAAATGGGATTGGCAGAGAGGGAGGGGGCAGTGAAAGCAGGGTGGCTGACCCTGGAAGAAACCTGCGGAGAAGATTCAGGGCTGCAGGTTGTAAAGTATTCTTGGTGCTGTGAGCAAAAGAAGCTGTTTCCTGCTGCCTTCAGAGACACGGGCCTTTGTACGTTCTTTGTAAATAAACAAAACTGCATCAAAGAAACACCCATCTGTCACCGATTTCTCCTCCCAACTGGAACAACCTACCGGAGCCTGAACTTTTGGCTAACAGCATGGGTCAAAAGGGGTAACAGTACTGGGCAGTGTAATAAGAATGACACTGCTTTGCTTCTCCCACCTAACACATCTCGCCATAAAATGGAAATGCTCTGGGTGCAGGAACTATCTTTTCCTTCAGGTCTGTACAGCCCCTAGCACAGTGGAGCCCTGACTGGAGCCACTAGGCCATGCCGCAAAAATACATAATAGTGAATGATGATACGCAGAACGCTGCTAATGGCTGCCAGCAGGAGAGTCTTGGATCCAGAGACAATCACAGGCCTTGTTAAAGCCAATGGGTGGCAAGCCTTCTTTTCCAGGTTCAACTGAAGGAGCATCTAAGCCCCTTTATGTGGTAAAAACAGCTGCAGACAGTGAGGATGACCACTCAAGGCACTAGGCCACATGGAGGTCACAGCTAAGTTGAGTGGGCTGAGAGGTTTCCCTGGTTGCACACAAAGGGGCGAGGGGATTGGTTGGAGGCAGGAGGTCAGCAGCAGCTGTGAGTGTGACTATGAGAGGAAGCAAAGAGGGGTTTCTTGAGCAGAGAGCTCACTGGAAGACCCTGCAGGGGGATTTCTGAGCAAGGAAACAGCTGCTGCTGTTTGTTTCTATTGTGTCCAGAGAACCAGGACTGTGGTAACATTCATAGAATCATAGAATATCAGGGTTGGAAGGGACCTCAGGAGGTCATCTAGTCCAACCCCCTGCTCAAAGCAGGACCAATCCCCAATTAAATCATCCCAGCCAGGGCTTTGTCAAGCCTGACCTTAAAAACTTCTAAGGAAGGAGATTCTACCACCTCCCTAGGTAACGCATTCCAGTGTTTCACCACCCTCCTAGTGAAAAAGTTTTTCCTAATATCCAACCTAAACCTCCCCACTGCAACTTGAGACCATTACTCCTTGTTCTGTCTAGATCCCTCTGTATCCTATCCCTACCCTCCAGCGTATCTACCACTTCTCCCAGTTTAGTGTCAACTGCAAACTTGCTGAGGGTGCAATCCACACCATTCTCCAGATCATTTATGAAGATATTGAACAAAACTGGTCTGAGGACCGACCCTTGGGGCACTCCACTTGATACCGACTGCCAAGTAGACATGGAGCCATTGATCACTACCTGTTGAGTCCGACAATCTAGCCAGCTTTCTATCCACCTTATAGTCCATTCATCCAGCCCATACTTCTTTAACTTGATGGCAAGAATACTGTGGGAGACCATGTCAAAAGCTTTGCTAAAGTCAAGGAACAACACGTCCACTGCTTTCCCCTCTTCCACAGAGCCAGTTATCTCGTCATAGAAGGCAATTATATTAGTCAGGCATGACTTTCCCTTGGTGAATCCATGCTGACTGTTTCTGATCACTTTCCTCTCCTCTGAGTGCTTCAGAATTGATTCCTTGAGGACGTGCTCCATGATTTTTCCAGGGACTGAGGTGAGGCTGACTGGCCTGTAGTTCCCCCAATCCTCCTTCTTTCCTTTTTTAAAGATGGGCACTACATTAGCCTTTTTCAGTCGTCCGGGACCTCCCCCGATCGCCATGAGTTTTCAAAGATAATGGCCAATGGCTCTGCAATCACATCCGCCAACTCCTTTAGCACTCTCGGATGCAGCGCATCCGGCCCCATGGACTTCTGCTTGTCCAGCTTTTCTAAATAGTCCCGAACCACTTCTTTCTCCACAGAGGTCTGGTCACCTCCTCCCCATGCTGTGCTTTCCTGATTTAACTCCTGCATGCCCGAGCAATATTTTTATACTCTTCCCTGGTCATTTGTCCAATCTTCCACTTCTTGTAAGCTTCTTTTTCGTGTTTTCAAAAAGAAAAGGAGTACTTGTGGCACCTTAGAGACTAACCAATTTATTTGAGCATAAGCTTTTGTGTTTAAGATCAGCAAGGATTTCACTGTTAAGCCAAGCTGGTCGCCTGCCATATTTACTATTCTTTCTACACTTCGGGATGGTTTGTCCCTGTCATAAATATAAAGGGAAGGGTAAACCCCTTTAAAATCCCTCCTGGCCAGAGGAAAAATCCTCTCACCTGTAAAGGGTTAAGAAGCTAAAGGTAACCTCTCTGGCACTTGACCAAAATGACCAATGAGGAGACAAGATACTTTTAAAAGCTGGGAGGAGGGAAGAAAAACAAAGGGTCTGGGTCTGTCTGTATGCTGCTTTTGCCAGGGACAGAACAGGAATGGAGTCTTAGAACTTTTAGTAAGTAATCTAGCTAGGTATGTGTTAGATTATGATTTCTTTAAATGGCTGAGAAAAGAACTGTGCTGAATAGAATGACTATCCCTGTCTGTGTGTCTTTTTTGTAACTTAAGGTTTTGCCTAGGTTTTGCTCTATGTTTTTAATCTAATTACCCTGTAAGGTGTCTACCATCCTGATTTTACAGAGGTGATTCCTTTACTTCTATTAAAAGTCTTCTTGTAAGAAAACTGAATGCTTTTTCATTGTTGTAAGATCCAAGGGTTTGGGTCTGTGGTCACCTATGTAAATTGGTGAGGATTTTTATCAAACCTTCCCCAGGAAGTGGGGTGCAAGGGTTGGGAGGATTTTTGGGGGAAAGACATGTCCAAAGTACGTTTCCCAGTAAACCCAGTTAAAGTTTGGTGGTGGCAGTGGAAATTCCAAGGGCAAAGGGTAAAATTAATTTGTACCTTGGGGAAGTTTTAACGTAAGCTGGTAAAAGTAGGCTTAGGAGGTTTTCATGCAGGTCCCCACATCTGTACCTTAGAGTTCAGAGTGGGGGAGGAACCTTGACAGTCCCTGTAACCTCAATAAGGATTCTTTAAAATACAGCCAACTCTCCTGGACTCCTTTCCCCCTCACGTGATTCTCCCAGGGGATCCTGCCCATTAGTTCCCTGAGGGAGTCAAAGTCTGCTTTTCTGAAGTCCAGGGTTCGTATTCTGCTGCTCTCCTTTCTTCCTTGTGTCAGGATCCTGAACTCGACCATCTCATGGTCACTGCCTCCCAGGTTCCCATCCACTTTTGCTTCCCCCACTAATTCTTCCTGGTTTGTGAGCAGCAGGTCAAGAAGAGCTCTGCCCCTAGTTGGTTCTTCCAGCACTTGCACCAAGAAATTGTCCCCTACAGTTTCCAAAAGCTTCCTGGATTGTCTGTGCACCGCTGTATTGCTCTCCCAGCAGATATCAGGGTGAATGAAGTCTCCCATGAGAACCAGGGCCTGCGATCTAGTAACTTCTGTGAGTTGCCGGAAGAAAGCCTCGTTCACCTCATCCCCCTGGTCCGGTGGTCTCTAGCAGACTCCCACCACGACATCACCCTTGTTCCTCACACTTCTAAACTTAATCCAGAGACTCTCAGGTTTTTCTGCAGTTTCATACTGGAGCTCTGAGCAGTCATACTGCTCCCTTACATACAATGCAACTCCCCCACCTTTTCTGCCCTGCCTGTCCTTCCTGAACAGCTTATATCCATCCATGACAGTACTCCAGTCATGTGAGTTATCCCACCAAGTCTCTGTTATTCCAATCACATCATAATTCCTTGCCTGTTCCAGGACTTCCAGTTCTCCCTGCTTGTTTCCCAGGCTTCTTGCATTTGTATATAGGCACTTGAGATAACTCACTGATCGTCCCTCTTTCTCAGTATGAGGCAGGAGCCCTGCCCTCTCGCACACTCCTGCTCGTGCTTCCTCCCGGTATCCCACTTCCCCACTTATCTCAGGGCTTTGGTCTCCTTCCCCCGGTGAACCTAGTTTAAAGCCCTCCACACTAGGTTAGCCAGCCTGCTTGCGAAGATGCACATGATTGGCCAAGTCTTCCCCCAACAGCATGGGGATTGGATAATCATCATCGACTGCAAAAGTCCACGTTCCTGACCACCCCTTGTACTGGACAGGCAACTTGGCTGTAGGCAGATTGAAAGAGTCGGACTTGAAGAGTTGAATCGTCACTTGGATCTCTGGGTTGATTAAATTGGGGTCCACTAAGGAAGCATGGATAGCCGACACTGTGCTCCGGTGTCTCTCCACGCGGTGACCTTCTTCCTGCCCACACTCACAGTTTCCCTCCACTCCGAGGGTATCTGGGAGGTATCTGGGCCTGCGGATCTTTGGTGTGATTCTGGTGCAATGAACTGTAATCTGTTGGGGTTCTTGGGGCAATTGGCCTTTACATGCCCCGGGTCGTTACATTTAAAACATCGTCCAGCTGTCAGGTCACTGGGGCGAGGTGAGTTGCTGGAGAATGGTGTGGCGGGACGATAAGGTGGCTGGAGGGTTCCTTGGGGGGTAGGTGGGGCCTTGGGCTGCCCCCAGTAGAAGGGTGTGGTCTGAGGTTGTCTCTTCTGGTATCCGCTCCAACTGCGACCAGTTTTTTTCTTCTCTGCCACCTCCACCCATTTGGCTCCAATCTCCCCTGCCTCGATTACAGTTTTGGGCTTCCCATCTAGGATGTATCTTTCTATTTCCTCAGGAACACCCTCTAAGAAGTGCTCCATTTGCATTAGGAAGGGCAAATCTTCTGAAGATTTAACACTTGCTCCTGATATCCAGGCATCCCAATGTTTCACAATGTGGTAGTCATGTTGGGTAAATGACACATCTGGTTTCCACCTTAGGGCTCTGAACCGCCGACGGGAATGCTCGGGTGTTAGCCCCATTCTGACTCTCGCCTTGGTTTTAAACAGTTCATACTGGTTCATTTGTTCCTTAGGCATTTCAGCCGCCACCTCAGCTAAGGGTCCAGTGAGCTGCAGCCTCAGCTCTACCATGTATTGGTCTGTAGAGATGCTGTACCCAAGGCAGGCCCTTTCGAAGTTTTCTAAGAAGGCCTCGGTATCATTGCCTGCCTTGTAGGTGGGGAACTTTCTGGGATGGGAAGTGGTACCTGGAGAAGGATTGCTAGGGTTTGTTGGTATATTCTGCTGAGCCTTTGCCTTCTCCATCTCCAGTGCATTCTTCCTCTCTTTTTCTTTCTCCTCTATTTCTTTGTCCCTTGCCTCCATTTCCCTCCTGTGGGCAGCCTCCCTTTCTTTTTCCCTTGCCTCCATTTCTTTCCTTATGAGTTCTATCTGTCTTTCATATTCCTTTTGTTTTTCCTCAGCCTCAAACCTGGCTAATTCCAGCTTTTGTTGAACCATGGAGTCTGTCATCCTAACCTCTCTGATTTTAACTAACTTTACACTTGAGAGTTAGAAAGAAAACAAGACAAAAAAACTTGGCTTGTAAAATTTTGTTGTGCTGTTCGGATGCCTATGTTCTCTGATAGTGATTGTCAGCCTACAGAGAAATCCTAAAAAAAAACCCTAACACCTTTGTCTCCAGGCAAATAGACAGAAAACTCCTCTAGTTGCTCTTACGTAAAAAACAACTTCAGGTCTGTGAAGACTTGTGAATTTCCCTGCAGGAGGTTAACTACCCTGCCTTTAGGTAGAGAAAACTCCAGCTCACAAAAGACAATTCCCTTTTGTCTCTGCTCTGGCCCCAAAGCAGAGAAAAAACTCTAACTACTTTCAGTTGGAAACCTACTTTCCAACAGCCCAAAGGAAAAAAAATTCCCTTTTAAAATCTGTGCTTCTGGTTCAAAAAATCTCAAATTGATCTCAAAATGATTTCAAGTTAATCCCACCACTCTGCCACCATGTCAAGGTTCCTTCACCGCTCTGAACTCTAGGGTACAGATGTGGGGACCTGCATGAAAACCTCCTAAGCTTACTTTTACCAGCTTAGGTTAAAACTTCCCCAAGGTACAAACTATTTTACCTTTTGCCCGTGGACTTTCGCTGCCACCACCAAACGTCTAACACCGGTTACTGGGAACGAGTCCGTTTGAAAACGTCTTTCCCCCCCAAATCCTCCCAAATCTTACATCCCCTTTCCTGGGGAAGGTTTGATAAAAATCCTCACCAATTTGCAGAGGTGACCACAGACCCAAACCCTTGGATCTTAAGGACAATGAAAAAGCATTCAGTTTCTTAAAAGAAGAATTTTAATAGAAGAAAAAGTAAAAAGAATCACCTCTGTAAAATCAGGATGGTAAATACCTTACAGGGTAATTAGATTCAAAACATAGAGAATCCCTCTAGGCAAAACCTTAAGTTACAAAAAGACACAAAAACAGGAATATCCATTCCATTCAGCACAGCTTATTTTCTCAGCCATTTAAAGAAATCAGAATCTAACGCATATCTAGCTAGATTACTTACGAAGATCTAAGACTCCATTCCTGTTCTGTCCCCGGCAAATGCATCACACAGACAGAGAGAGCCTTTGTTTCTCCCTCCCCCCAGTTTTTGAAAGTATCTAGTCTCCTCATTGGTCATTTTGGCCAGGTGCAAGTAAGGTTATCTTAGCTTCTTAACCCTTTACAGGTGAAAGGGTTTTCCCTCTGGCCAGGAATCATAGAATCATAGAATATCAGGGTTGGAAGGGACCTCAGGAGGTCATCTAGTCCAACCCCCTGCTCAAAGCAAGACCAATCCCCAATTAAATCATCCCAGCCAGGGCTTTGTCAAGCCTGACCTTAAAAACTTCTAAGGAAGGAGATTCTACCACCTCCCTAGGTAACGCATTCCAGTGTTTCACCACCCTCCTAGTGAAAAAGTTTTTCCTAATATCCAACCTAAACCTCCCCCACTGCAACTTGAGACCATTACTCCTTGTCCTGTCCTCTTCTACCACTGAGAACAGTCTAGAGCCATCCTCTCTGGAACCACCCCTCAGGTAGTTGAAAGCAGCTATCAAATCCCCCCTCATTCTTCTCTTCTGCAGGCTAAACAATCCCAGGTCCCTCAGCCTCTCCTCACAAGTCATGTGTTCCAGACCCCTAATCATTTTTCTTGCCCTTCGCTGGACTCTCTCCAGTTTATCCACATCCTTCTTTTAGTGTGGGGCCCAAAACTGGACACAGTACTCCAGATGAGGCCTCACCAATGTCGAATAGAGGGCAACGATCACGTCCCTCGATCTGCTTGCTATGCCCCTACTTATACATCCCAAAATGCCATTGGCCTTCTTGGCAACAAGGGCACACTGCTGACTCATATCCAGCTTCTCATCCACTGTCACCCCTAGGTCCTTTTCCGCAGAACTGCTGCCTAGCCATTTGGTCCCTAGTCTGTAGCTGTGCATTGGGTTCTTCCGTCCTAAGTGCAGGAGGTATTTTAAAGGTGTTTACCCTTCCCTTTATATTTATGACAAGCGTCATCAGCATGGAAGCATATCCTCTGGAATGGTGGTCAAAGCATGAAGGGGCATACAAATGTTTAGGGCTTGGTTCAAGGACTCCGTGCGACAAAGGAGGCCCATGCAGAAGCAGGAATCTTTCTCCCAGTTGTGAAGCGGGTACCACTTGAAATCTGAACCCACCATTTCCCTCGGGTTTTGGCTGATCAGTTGGAATAATTTCCCCAGGAAATTAATTAGTCTATGTTGCTATCAGCACAAAGTGCTACATCCTCAGATTGCTCAGTGGGAAATGAATCCTTTAAAAATGGATCCATTGCAGTGGAAAATCACGACTCATCTCATTGAAAAGGGACAAGGGGATACCAGGATGTGGTATAAACCCCTTTCCAATCTGCTTTCACAAACGACTGAACAAAAATTGACCCAGGGACCCACTCATCATATTCATTACTAGACAGGGTGAGAGAAGAGTAATTAAATCTCATGCTTCAGGGCATCAGCTGATCATCACAGGAGTCAGGAGGGAGTCAACTCCAGGTGCAGGATTGCCCTGTTGGTCAGGTGAATTGTGGATTTGCTGTTTGTTTGTTTTGTCTTCCTCTGAATTATCAGATAGTGGCCAGTGCAAGAGGGAGGATACAGGACTCATGGAATCATAGAATCATAGAATCATAGAATATCAGGGTTGGAAGGGACCCCTGAAGGTCATCTAGTCCAACCTCCTGCTCGAAGCAGGACCAATTCCCAGTTAAATCATCCCAGCCAGGGCTTTGTCAAGCCTGACCTTAAAAACCTCTAAGGAAGGAGATTCTACCACCTCCCTAGGTAACGCATTCCAGTGTTTCACCACCCTCTTAGTGAAAAAGTTTTTCCTAATATCCAATCTAAACCTCCCCCACTGCAACTTGACCAGTAGGCCAATCTGATATGGCAATGGATCAGAAAAGACAATACTCTGAGTCAGCATGGCAAATCTGGCACAGAATTCTCTTGATATGGGGGAACAAGGCAGTGAAACTCTTCTTGTGCTTGTTAAATCACAGCTGCGTGATGCCAGCTTCAGGCTTTGGCATGAGGCCATTCCTGTCCTAGATTAAACCTGGACTCCACTTTCAGCAAGATGGCTTTCAGCTCCAGGAAACTGCTGCTTTCAATTAATAGCTTGATTTTTCAATCTGTTTAGAAGTTCACACGTGGCATATAATCAGATCAAGGCACTGAGAGAACACATCAAAATATGCTTTTAATTTGGATGTCACTGAAATTAGGATTCAAGTTGAGGTCATATTGTCTGATCATTAAATCCAAAGAAATGACTACAGACACTTTCACAGAGGATTAGCTCATCTGTAAGACACACACTAGGAGTGAAACCAGAGCAAGTGTGTTTTCAATGTGCATTTAACATGTGCATTTAACATGTGAAGCTGGATTTAAGGCTTTTCAGAAGATGTGCAATGATCACACTCCAGCGGGGGTTAGGGAAGGGCCAGCTTTCACAATGGAGTGGCCAGGAAATGTGGAAAATGTTGAGGTTTAGAAATTCCCTTTCATTCTGGTGGGCAAC